CAATTTTTTTTTCAAGTGGGAGGATTAATCTGAATAGCCTAACACACCTTTGAGAAAAACAGAAATTCCATGTCACAATATTTCACCTAGGCCTAAAAAGACTACCTTCCCCAGTTTGCCTGGGGCGCTCCCAGTTTTAGCCCTGAAAGTCCTGCATTCTGGGATATCATGTCAACCCAGGAAAACAGAAGATTGGTCACACAACCAGGGCCCCAAGCAACCCTGGTACCTGAATAAAGTACTTTTAAACCCAAGTTATCTACCTGATGGTTTCCCCTTACTTAAAACTTTTCCCATCTTAAAGAGAATATATATACCTGTGCGTGTGTGTTTAATCAAAAAGGTGCTTCTATTATCCTGTTGCTGTATCACATAGCCATTATATTCTACTTATGCCCTCAATAATTGACAAGATAAGCACTCTTGTAGATAAACTTATGGTTTCTTGATAAAATCAGGTGTAGACAGGATCTTGTCTTGGCTTAAATTATAAATAGATAAGCTTTGTTAACTCAGCTGATTCCATTGTTCTTGCTGTTAGCTGCCATCCAGTAGGTTCCAACTCATAGCAGCCCTATGTACAACAGAACGAAACACAGCCCTGTCCTGCACTGTTCTCATAATCATTGTTATACTTGAGCCCGTTGTTGCAGCCACTGTCTGTGTCAGTCCATCTTGTTGAGAGTCTTCCTCTTTTTCACTGACCCTCTACTTTACCAAGCATGATGTCCTTCTCCAGGGACTAGTCCCTTCTAATAACATGTCCAAAGTTTGTGAGAAGAAGTCTTGCTACCCTCGCTTCTAAGGAGCATTCTGAGTATACTTCTTCCAGGACAGATTTGTTCATTCTTCTGGCAGTCCATGGTATATTCAATATTCTTCACCAACACCATAATTCAAAGGCATCAGTTCTTCTTTGGGCTTCCTTATTCATTGTCCAGCTTTCACATTCATATGAGGCAATTGAAAAATACCATGTCTCAGGTCAGGTGTACCTAAGTCGTTACAGTGATATCTTTGCTTTTTAACACTTTAAGGAGGTCTTTTGCAGCAGATTTGCCCAATGCAATGTGTCATTTGATTTCTTGACTGCTGCTTCCATGGGCATTGATTGTGGATCCAAGTAAAATGAAATCCTTGACAACTTCAATATTTTCTCTGTTTATCATGATGTTTCTTATTGGTTCAGTTGTGAGGTTTTTTGTTCTGTTTAATGTTGAGGTGCAATCCATACAGAAGGCTATAGTCTTTGATCTTCATTAGTAAGTGCTTCAAGTCCTCTTCACTTTCAGCAAGCAAGGTTGTGTGATCTGCGTATCGTAGGTTGTTAATGAGTCTTCCTCCAATTCTGCTGCCATGTTCTTCTTCATGTAGTCCAGTTTCCCGGATTATTTGGTCAGCACACAGATTGAATAAGTATGGTGAAAGGATACAACCCTGACACACACCTTTCCTGACTTTAAACCACACAGTATTCCCTTGTTCTGTTCAAATGACTACCTCTTGATCTATGTACAGGTTCCTCATGAGCACAATTAAGTGTTCTGGAATTCCCATTCTTCACAATGTTATCCATAATTTGTTATGATCCACACAGTCACATGCCTTTGCATAGTCAATAGAACACAGGTAAACATCTTTCTGGTATTCTCTGCTTTCAGGATTCATCTGACATCAGCAATGATACCCCTCATTCCACGTCCTCTTCTGAATCTGGCTTGACTTTCTGGCAGTTCCCTGTCAATGTACTGCTGCAACCACTTTTGAATTATCTTCTGCAAAATTTTACTTGTGTATGATATTAATGATATTGTTCAATAATTTCCACATTCTGTTGCATCACCTTTCTTTGGAATGGGTACAAATATGGATCTCTTCCAGTCGGTTGCCCAGGTAGCTGTCTTCCAAATGTCTTGGCATAGACGAGTGAGTACTTCCAGTGTTGCATCCATTTGTTGAAACATCTCAATTGGTATTCCATCAATTCCTGGACCTTTGTTTTTTGCCAGTGCCTTCAGTACAGCTTGGACCTCTTCCTTCAGTACCGTCAGTTCTTGATTATATGATACCTCCTGAAATGGTTGAACATCGACCAGTTGTTTTTGGTACAGTGACTCTGTGTATTCCTTTCATCTTCTTTTAATGCTTCCTGTGTCATTTAATATTTTTCTCATAGAATCTTTCAATATTGCAACTCAAGTCTTGAGTTTTTTCTTCAGTTCTTTCAGGCGAAAAATGCTGAGCATGTTCTTCCCTTTTGGTTTTCTAATTCCAGGTCTTTGTACTTTGTACTTTGTACTTCGTCTTCTCGAGCCACCCTTGGAAATCTTCTGTTTAGCTCTTTTACTTCAGTTCTTCGTTTTGCTTTAGCTATTCTATGTTCAAGAACAAGTTTCAGAACCTCTTCTGACATCCATTTTGGTCTTTCCTTTCTTTTTAATGACCTCTTGCTTCCTTCATGTATGATGTCTTTGATGTCATTCCACAACTCATCTGGTCTTCAGTCATTAGTATTCAATGTGTCAAATATGTTCTTGAGAGGGTCTCTAAATTCAGGTGGGTTATACTCAAGGTCATACTTTGGCTCTCGTGGACTTGTTCTAATTTTCTTCAACTTCAGCTTGAACTTGCGTATAAGCAATTGATGGTCTGTTCCATGATCAACTTCTGGCCTTGTTCTGACTGATGATATTGAGCCTTCTCGTTGTCTGTTTCCACAGATGTAGTCGATTTGATTCCTGTGTATTCCATCTGGCAAGGTCCATGTGTATAGTCACCATTTATATGAAGAAGTCGTTGGTCTTGCAAAATGCTATCATGCGATCTCCGGTTTTATTTCTATCACCAAGGCCATATTTTCCAACTACCAATCCTTCTTTGTTTCCAACTTTCACATTTCATTTGCCAGTAATTATCAATGCATTTTGATTACATGTTTGATGAATTTCAGACTGCAGAAGTTGGTAAAAATCTTCAATTTCTTCATCTTTGGCAGTAGTGGTTGGTGCGTAAATTTGAATAATAGTCGTATTAGCTGGTCTTCCTTGTAGGTGTATGGAAATTATCCTATCACTGACAGCCCTGTACTTCCGGATAGATCTTGAAATATTCTTTTTCACGATGAACGTGACGCCATTCCTCTTCAACTTGTCATTTTCATGATAGTAGACCATATAATTGTCCAATTCAAAATGGCCAATACCAGTCCATTTCAGCTCACTGTATGTCTAGGATATAGATTTTTGTGCCTTCCATTTCATTTTTGATGACTTCCAATTTTCCTAGATTCATACTTCATATATTCCACTTTCCAAGTATTAGTAGATGTTTGCAGCTGTTTCTTCTCATATTGAGTTGTGCTACGTATCTGTCAGTTTGTTGTACTGTGGTGGCTTGCATGTTACTGTGATACTGGAAGCTTTGCCACTGGTATTTTAAATACCAGCAGGGTCACCTTTGATGGACAGGTTTCAGCGGAGCTTCGAGACTAAGATAGACTAGGAAGAAGGACCTGGCAGTCTAGTTATGAAAAAATTGGCCAGTGAAAACCTTATGAATAGTTGATTCCATAAACTCCTCAATTTACTAATCATTTTAATGTTCAATAGTGTATTAGGCTGGGTTCTCTAGAGAAGCAAAACCAGTAAAGTGTATAAATATATATATAGAGAGAGATTATATCAAGGAAACAGCTCATGTGATTGTAGAGGCTAAAACGTCCCAAGTCTGTGGATCAGGGTAGAGGCCTCTCCCAAGTCACACAGTTGCAGAAGCTGGCAAGCCCAAGATCGGAAGGTC